GTTCTCTAAGCTTTGACATGCAGGCTTATTGCCTTTGCTGTAGTTGAATGCATATCCATTATACCAGTTTGATTTTACATTTATTTTGTGTGTGTGCATGTGTGGATGCACATAGGCCATGGTGCACATGTGGTGGTCAGAGGACAACTTGCAGGTGTTGGTTCTCTCCTTCCACCACAAGGATTCCAGGGATTGATGCCAGCTCGCCAGGCTTGGTGACAAGTGCATTTTACTAACTGAGCCATCTCACTGGCCCCTCCTTTTTGTTTTTATTTTTTATCTTTTGAGTTACAAAGTTTTTTAAATCATAATACTGTAAACATTTTATTTATTTATTTTTATTTTGCATGTATTGCCTGCATGTATGTGAGTGCACCCATGTCGTGCAATGCCCACATTGGTCAGAAGAGGCTGTTGGATCCCCTGGGACTGGAGTTACAGACAGTTGTTAGCTGCCATGTGGGTGCTGGGATTCGGACCCAGCTCTTCTGCAAGAACAACCAGTGTTCTTAACCACTGAGCCATCTCTCCAGCCCCAACATTTTTTTTGGGGGGGGGGCTGGAAGTTGGTGTCATTCTTACAAGGTTGGGTGATTTAGAGGAAACAAACTCTAAATAAACAATCAGGCTCCCAAGTAGAGAGTAGATGCCTGTTCTTTAAAGAGAGTTCAACCTCACGTCTCAGAACACCTGCAGTGTGACAATCTTAGTGAGCAACTGCACTTGTCGCTCTTCGGTGTCCTCCCTAACTAAATAGATTCCTGTGAAGTGCGACTGGAGATCTGACCTAATGAAACCCAACAATGAGCAGGGTCACCAGGGCCATCAAAGCATGAGTCTGCGTCTCCCCAGGCGATGTAACAGAATCTGCATGCCCACACGGATGGTGGGTCAGGAGACTCGCAGCCAAGGGCACTGCTGGGGCTTCAGAATAACAGCACAGGGCTGTAACCCAGCACCATGCCAGGACATTTAGCCAGGTTATCATTTCAGTCATCCATCTTTTATTCATAAGCACAGGAATATGTTTTCTTTGGCTGTTCCCATTGCCCTTTCAGGATCTACCGACATTCTAGTGGAGTGTTTTCCTTTATGTTACAGAAAACATGCCCGGCATAAGGTATCTTGTCACCATGTATGTCATTACCAGCCCTGGACTGGGATGGCATGATTACTGTTGCTCCAGTGCTAGCATGAGCAACTAGTATTGCAGGGCAAGCCTTTAAGTAGTTTTTTGAGCCCCACTAAGGCTGTAGGTTGTAAGACAATCTGTAACCCAAGGCAGGAGTATACCTCAGTACCAAATGGCTTCATTACCTGAATTACTCATTTATTTCAGCCTTAAAGGAGATTAAAAATGGAATCAGGAGCCAGGCGTTGTGGCACATGCCTTTAATCCCAGCACTCAGGAGGCAGAGGCAGGTGGATCTCTGTGAATTCAAGGCCAGCCTGTTCTACATAGTGAGTTCCAGGACAGCTGGGGTTACAGGGAGACCCTGTCTCAAAAAGACCAAAAAAAAAGAAAAAAAGAAAAAAAAAAAAGAATGGAATCAGTATGCTGCTTCTTAATTGTCAAAAATTCAATGGGAAATTCTTAGTCATACCAAACCCATCACATTTATTGGGGAACCCCAACCACAAAGCAAATTTCCCTCATCTCCACGCCTTCTCTCCACAGGGCTCTCATTTCTCCTCCCTTAGCCCTAACTGAGCAGTAGAAATGCTTAGATTCCTTCTGGAAGGACTGCACTTTACCCATTTCTGCCCTGGGCTCTGACTTGTCCTTTGACACCTGGGTGGCAGGAACTAAGTAACAAAAGTATTAGAGTGAGACCTCTGAATTGGCCTCACTAGCTACTTGGGCTTAAAGAAGCTCCTGGGCCTCAGCAACCTGTCTGTAAAGTATGAAGATCAATAGCAATACTAACTCATATAGTTAGCATGATAATTAAATGAACATTAGCTGTTGTTTGCATTTTCTTTTTAAACTTTATTTATTTATTATTATTAGTGTGCATGCGTGCACTCATTCATGAGCATGATGTTTGGAGGGTGGTGTGCACATGATCAATGTACGTAGGAAGGTCAGAGGACAAGTCCATGGAGTCAGTTCTTTCCTTTCACCTTCACGTGGGTTCCTGGGATCAAACTCAGGTTGCTGGGTTTATGCAGCAAGCATCAGTACCCACTGAGCCATCTTGCCGCTCCCTGCATTCCCTTGGGTTAGCTATGATCAATTTTTTTTAATGGTGGAGGGGGATTATAAACATATCTTTATTTCAACTCTAATAAGGAAGAACAAATATTTTATAGAAATTATACTCATATTCAAGTTTCTAGATCAGTGATTTTGATCGTGAGCTCTGAGAACACCTGGAGATCTCAGCAAGACCTTCATCAGGAATTCTTTTTTTTTTAATTTTATAATTTTTATTTTATGTGTATGCATGTATTGCCTGCATGTAGGTAAGTACACCCGTGACGTGCAATGCCCACGGAGGTCAGAAGAGGCTGTTGGATCCCCTGGAACTGGAGTTACAGACGGTTGTTAGCTGCCATGTGGGTGCTGGGATTCAAACTCGGGTCTTCTGCAAGAACAACCAGTGTTCTTAACTGCTGAACCATCTCTCCAGCCCTCATCAGGAGTTCTTAAGACTTAGAACTGGCATGGTAGTGCAGGACTTTAATCCCAGTAGTCAGGAGACAGAGGCAGGTAGATCTCTGTGAGATCAAGGCCAACCTGGTGTACATGGCAAGTTCCAGGCCACTCGGGGTTACATAATGAGACCCTGTCTCAAAACAACAACAGCAAAAAGACTAAAACTATCTTCATAATAACATTATAATTTCCTTTCATATTTTTGGTTTTTTAATAATTTATTGAGAATTTCATACATGCATATAAGGTGTTTTGATCAAATCTATGCCCACACCCTCTCCTCCAACTCCTCCCATATCTCCCCATCACTTTTTTCTGATAACTTCATATATTCTTTCTTCTTCTTTTTTTTAAAAATGGGGCTTTTTGCTGCTCTAACAGTCCTCCCTCTAAAGAGGTAACCCTAAAATCTTTTAAGGATTAGATAAGAGCTCCCAAATACTTTCGACATTTTTGGCCTTTGGAACGGAGTATGTTGCTAAGAGGCCCAAGGATATTTTGACTTTTCTCCATGCTTCCAAGTGAAGCCAGCCAGGGTCAAGGAGGACCTTTGGCTTATTTTCACACAGATGGAACTGGTAAAAGAAAGGAGCTAGGAGCTCCCTGTAGCCAGCCCCAGTTGGCCTGGAACTTGCTATGTAGACCAGGCTGGCCTCATCTCATAGAGATCAACCTACCTCTGCCTCGTGAGTGCTGGGATTAAAGGCATGCACCACCATGCCGGGCTTTCATATTTTTTATTATCACTCTTTTATAAGTGCACAGAAACCCCTCTTCCCTACTATTTTACTTTCCCAGGTTTCAGTTACATAGAGCCAACCATAATAAAAAACTATTAAATGCAAAATTCCAGAAACAATTTATAAGATTGTGTGCCATTCTGAACAGTGTGATGAAATCTTGAGCCATCACCTGCCATCCCACTGGATTGTGGATCATCCTTTGTCAGGTGTATCTACACTGTATACAATACCTACCTTTTAGTCATTTATCCGCCAATTCGGTTATCAGATTGATGGTCACTGCAGCCCCGTGTTTATGTTCAAGTAACCCTTAATTTATTATTTTGCTTAATAATAGCCCCCAAAGTATAAGAGTAGCAATGCTGACAGTTTAGCTATGCCAGAGAGAAGCTATAAAGTGTGTCCCTTAAGTAAATGGTGTACATTCTTGATTTAATGAAAGAAAATAATTATGTGCTAAAGTTAGTAAGATGCACAATAAGAATGACTCTTCTGCTTACCATGCTAGTTTTGCTGTCCCACTTCAAACTACAAAAGCCATGGCCGAGAAGGTGAAATGGCTCACTCAGTGGGTAAAAGCGCTTGCCACACGAGCCTGACCACCTGAACTGGATTCCTGGAACTCACAGTGGAAGGAAAGAACCAACTCCAGAAAGCTGTCCTCTGACCTCCACATCAGTGCATTGGCATACATGTACTATTACTCATACACACACATCATACACATATAGACATACAATAATAATAAATTTCAATTTTAAAAAAGATATAGCCATATAGCCGGGTGTGGTGACATGTAGGAAGATCAGGAATTGAAGGTCATCCTAGGTTACTTAGAAAGTTCAAGGCCACCCTGGATACCTGAGACTATGTTTCAAAACAACAACAAACAAACAAACAGTTAAAGGCTTAGTTAAGATGGAAAGGGTGAACCAGGTACGGCGGCACAAGCTTTTAATCCCAGCACTAGGGAGGCAGAGGCTGGAGAATTTCTGTGAGTCCAAGGCCAGCCTGGTCTACACAGTGAGTTCCAAGCCAACTGGGGCTACAGGGAATAAAATAAAAATAAAAATAAAAAAGATGGAAAGGGTGAGATGGAGAGATGGCTTATTGGTTAAGAGCACTGGCTACTCTTGCAGAAGAGCTGAACTTGATTCCCAGAACCCACACAGCTAACAACCCTCTGTAATTTCCAGGGGCTCTGACATCCTATTTTGACCTCTGCCAGATTGTACAGTACAGGTGCACCTACCTACATGCAGGCAATAATAAATAAAATATTTTTTAAGATGAAAAGGGCATTTAGGACATGCGGTTTGGTACTATCTGTGCCTTCAGAAATCCACAGGAGATCTTGGAATGTAGTTCCCACAGATAAGGCAGGACTACTGTACAGTAGAATTTTCCAGAGGCCACAGGCTATGTGATAATGCCATCACTTCATTCTCAATGGAATATGTGCTTTTACATTCTCATTTTTGACATTCCTCAGTTATCATTTCAAATATGTAAATAGTAATTATTGTAATTCATCTCTGAACACTGAGACTGCCCCCCAAAGTTGGGCCCAGCAGCTACTCTATCTGTCTTTGTTTCAGGCTATCTGGATCTGACTTCCCCGGTGAGGACTGGCTTTGGAACTATGAGAAGCACAGCCACCGGCATTCTGTGATGAGAAAAGTCAAGAGGTTTCTGAGCACCCACGAGCATCCTGGCAGCCCCAGGAGGAGGAGCTTCGGAAGGCAGGCCAGCGACAGTTCCATGTTTTTCCCTCCCAGTCCGGCTCGGGATCTACTGGATGTGCCCTCACGAAATCCCCACCGAGCCTCATCCACCCGGAAGCAATCCCACTCCCGAGAGGACAGCCCCAAGCTGCATTCCAGCATGGGAGAATTGTCCACCCTGAGGGAGGTGAGCCGCACGAGCACTCTGCAGAGCCTGACCCCGCAGTCCAGTGTGAGGGCCTCCCCTACCAAAATGCCCCAAGTCCCTGAGGTTCTGATTACCGCAGCGGAAGCACCAGTGTCCTCATCAGACAGCCATCACCATGACTCTACTACCTCCATCTTGAGCCTGGAGTTTACTGGGGTGCAGCCAAGCAGGACTGAGCAGGAGGGGACACCCCCTGGAGACCCTAGTCCCCAGACTGCTTCAGTCAATTCTAAAAGAGACATGTTCAGGTTTGAGGAAGGCCTGGATGATGACATGATCCCCAAAAGGTGGAGCCTCCCAGAGTTCCGGGAGGCCAGTCACACTTCCCTGGGAAACTTAGGTCCAGATCCTGTGAGTGCAGACCCTGCTCTTTTACTTGACACAGAAACATCCTCAGAGACCAGTGGAATCAATCTTGGGGCTAGCTCTGCAGTCTCGCCTGACATTCTGTACTTAATGGAAAACCTGGACACTAAGGAAACAGACATCCTAGAATTTAACAATGAGCACACTGAAGAATCTCCCAAAGGACTGCCACAGAGCCCCAGGGCCTGGTTCTAGCCTGGCTCCTACTTTACCCAAAGCTTGGCATCAGCCCCGGAATACCCCTGGAAGCTGGCCAGCCTTTGAAAAAAAAAAGATCCTACTGCATAAGCTACTTAGAACTATAAAGGGCATTATGATCCTGCAAAAATCAAGCACATCCATGTCATCCAACAAAAAGTGGCTTTCATGGGAGTTATATGGCCCACAGTGAATTATCATAACCAAATAAGGAATGTTATATAAATATATGACATACGTCCACAGATGATTATCTTTGGAAAGGGCCATACAGATTATAGTCCAATCCCCTAGACACAAAGGCCAGAAGCGTCCTCTCTTCTTTCCTGCCCCCTCCTATGCCCACTCTCCTTTGCTTTAGCTACAAAGACAGGAGATGGATCACATCATACCCCAAAGGCCCTTTACAATTATTTGATTGAGGCTTTCGGACCACTTCATTCCTGCTTTCTGTAACCACTATTACCACCTTTTCCTAACTCTTAAACGTCCTCAGCATCAGAAGGATCCATTTCTCTCTGGGTGCTGTCTCAACATCGTGGTCTTTAGTGTTTTCTCTTCCCCGTTATTTTCTTACCCTTGTCCCTTTTCCCTTTTCCTTCATCTTGTTCCTTCAGTGGCTCCTAACCTGTTCCACTTTTCAGGCTATAGAATTCTCTCTTGCCAACTCTGTTGCTTCTTGACATGTTCAAAACATAAGGCATCAACAAAGCCTCGTACAGAATGTCAGCACATCCACCCTCTCATGCTTCTAGCCTCACAGCAGGAGGGGTGTGTGGGTTGATGAAGTGCACCACTTGCACAAACCTACTGCTTCCGCTCTTTGGTCTTGGACCCTGGAGAAAACAGAAACCAAGAGGATATGAAAACTGCATAGCCAAATGTTATAGTACCAAAGGATGACATGGTTTGAATCTTTTGAACTCATACACAGTCTTAAGCAAAAATCCCAATTGTGTCACAGCACGGGACCAGTTACTGTGCCTATCAGGTTGTTTGGCATGGAGTAGGATGGTAGAATTATATGTATTATAATGTTCATGACTGTATGGTGGAGACTGACTGTTGTCAGCCTCCCTCCAGAAGGGTAGCTATTTGTTGCAAGCGCCTAACTTTGAAAGGCTTCGCCTTCTGAGTGTTAGCCTCTCTGCTTGTCCTAGGATGAAATGGCTTCAGAAATAAAGAAACCTTAGTAGCTACCACTGAATGAGTGCTCACAATGTTCCACACAGCTGCAGCTGAAGTTCATAGATGAGCTCATTAAGCCTCACAGGAATCCTATTAGGCTGGCTGCATTTTAAAGATGAAGTAAACAGAGGCGTTGGAGAAGTAATTTGCCTAAAAGCACATAGCCAGCTTATCTGGCTCAAGAGTTCCCCACTCTTAACCACCGTGTTTCCCTGTGCTGTGTTATCTGCAAGGCCTTGAACCTACAGCGATTTGCCTAGGATTCTTGGGAATGCTCCAAGGGAACCATGCCCAAGTCATAGATTTGTGCCAAATCTCTTCAGCCTTGAACGCCTCTTTGCATCCTCCAGGCCAGGCTTAACAGGACCTGAACTCAGAGAGGAGAGTGGAGCCTCTGACACTGAGCCCTAGCCATGTCTTCTTCATTTGTAACAACAGAAGGTTGTCAGAATCCACTTCTCCTTTCCCCACTCCAGAGCCCTGACGTACAGTGTTATAATGAGCATATTCGCATAAGACCTCGAATCTCAGCAGGCCTCTAGAGCCACACAAGAGTGACGTTTACCTTAACTGGCTTTTCTCAAATGACTTGAAGGAAATACTATTAGAATAAATCCTATAATTGATGATTCTCTATCTTGGTCCATACCATTAGCTCCCGGGAAAGCACTGTGATTCTCAAAGCACTACATACAGATGGACTATGGAATCAAGTCCCATTGCATTCTAAAACACCAGAGCCCCAGCCTTCTTGCAGTCACCATTGTCTTTATGCAGTTTCCTTGAGTACTTCAGTGTAAGTCCCTCCATCCTCTTTTCTTTGGCTCTGCCTATTGCTCAAATACAAATAAGTTTCTACTTAGCTGCTTTTGAAGTATAATCCATTTTCATTCCTAAATCCAAAGTGATAAATTATACACAGATGGAAGAGGACGTTTTATAGAGAGACAGGACAGAGTTCATTTATCTCTAATGCCATGCATCTTTTAGGCATCTTCATTCCTGAGAATTAGTTAAGATTCTCAGTATTTCTTTAAAATTTGAGATAACCTCCTATTTTCTCCTCATACGAAAACTGAATTATGACTTGTTCAATGAGCCCATCTTGTAAGAAACCAGCTATAAATTCCAGCCAGCAATTGCCCAGAGCAAATGAAGAAATTCTCCATTCTGAAATGAGTTTTTACCCAGCATCACCATGGCTCCCAAAACAAAAAGGTTTAGTCTCCTGTGCCTGATTTCTTGCCTGCCTAGATCATTTTCCCCTTAGCTCTAGAAAATTCCACCCCTGGACAAGAAGTCACATGGCCTGATGGCTTAGTCTTTTGGGCTTGATCAATCCAAGGCTTAGTGTGGCTCTGTATTAAACACAGTCTACACAGCAGAGAGCATAGGGAGGCCAAGGTCTTTCTTCTCTCACTGCTCTCGCCACAACTCTGCCCTGACTCTGGGGTTTAGTTAGGTAAGAGCTTACCAACTTTTTCTCTGTTGTCCCTGACTGTTTGCTCTCCTCCTTCAGTGTCCATTGCCTTCACCACTCTGAGCATTCACTTTCAACCTTGTTCAGCTAAGCGACAGAAAGTGTATCAAGTGGAATGGAGAAAAATGTAGAATTTACCGTCATTATAAGGGAAAAATACTCATATGAATTACCTCTGAGTAGCTTCAGAAACTTAAACAAAGCCAGGCGTGGTGGAATATGCCTTTAATTCCAGCACTCATGAGGCTGAAGCAGGAAGATTGAAAGTTCAAAGCCAGCCTGGCTACATGGTGAGTTCAAGGCCAGCCTGGGCTATATATATAGCAAGAGCCTGTCTCTAAAAACCAGTAAAATAAAGAAAAGGAAGGAAAGGAAGGAAGGAAGGAAGGAAGGAAGGAAGGAAGGAAGGAAGGAAGGAAGGAAGGAAGGAAGGGAAAAAAATGAACAAATGCCTGCCTTCCGAATGGCAGCGTCTCATCTGTAAAATGGACTCTTCTCTGGATAGCTTCACTGGGCCATTGTGAAGCATCATGAGAGTTGATGGGAAAGGCAGGGAACCACAGGTTGCTTTGTGTGGCCTATAAGCATGACAATGATTAATGATCCAAGGATTCATCATGATTTCCCTTTTACTATGGTAATCTGTTCTTCAGGGTCCTCTTAGTCTCTGGGATTCTAATCTCTTTCATTTAGGAAGCTTTTCTTCCAACAGTCACAGCATTAAGCCTCCACCTCATCAGTGCTCATTCTCTTCCGGCTTTTTTCTTTCCTAAGTTCCACGCCTTCCTTCTCTCTGACATTCTCATTATTCCTTCACTCCATTGCGCACTCCAGGCCACATCATTCATTCTGTATATCAATATTCCTCATCAAAATGTGGAGCCGGAGAAAAATTAATTGTATTTGTTCTTTCCACTGTAAATCTAAAGGATGTTGAGCCCTGGATTCAAAGGTTGAAGACCATCTCAGGACATCTACTCTCCCCAAAGCTGGTCCTATATCAGATAATTAGGAATAATACCTACAACTGTAAAAGGCAAAAATGAAGCAAGAGCAAATTAGAATCTGATGTCACCTGTCCTTCCTTCATCACAACCATCTATCTACATTGTCAACAGCAAACTGAACTTTCTGATGCCTGTGCTGCTGATGGAAATAAACAAGGACTTCCTCCTTTCATTTTATTGAACTATTTCAGACAGGTCCTCAAACCTTTTGCATACTTTATTTCTTAGTTCTAGGAACTCTTAAGTTTTAGGCAGTCTTCCACTGATATGGCCATTGAGTTGAAAGAAACAATTCAAAAAATACTAGGATTCTCTGACTGCAAATCTTACAAAATCCAGAAAGACCCCAACCCACTGGCAAAACATGAGAGCTACGATCCCCAATAATCCCCTCACTCTAAACCTTCCTTCAGCACCCCCACATGTACAGTCAGCATATCCCTAGCTGTGGCAAATACAAAATGAAGCCATTGCCCTACAAAATGGGAACCTGAATATATTTACACAAAAACTCAGTTGACTCAGGTCCAGGATTACATTTTTGTTTTGTTTGGATTTTTCTGAATTAGTTCAGAGAATGGGCCCAAATCTTCCTTTTGCCATGAGAAGGTCTGGCCAGATGGTAACCCAAAATCATCTTCTCTGAGCTTCTAATTTTTGACATTTGCTTAATAGAGACAGCAAAGGAAGGGTTGCATCTTGTGTCCTGAAAATAACATTTCTAAAATATATTTTGTGCGGAAATGCTGATGTGTCCCAAGTTCTTTGTCTAGGCTAGTGGTTCTCAACCAGATGCGATTTTTTTTGTAGCCGGGAGATATTGGGTGATGTCTGTAGACATTTTGGATGGTCATACCAGGAACCTTACTGGCATGTGGTAGGTAGAGACCAGGAATGCCACTAAACACCCTGTTATGCACAGAACAGACAGACACCACAGACATCTAGCCCCAAATACCAAGGCAGAAAAACTTGATTTAGGCTAAAGGAAGATAAAGTCGAGACAACCATTTGGGAGATTAGTGACGAGAGAAGAGCTAGAGAAAAACATAGAACTTGAGAGCACATAGACACAATCTAAATGCCTATCTTTTTTAAAAATATTTTTATTATTTTTATTTTTTATGTATATGAGCATATTGCCTGTATGTATGTGAGAGCACCCATGTCGTGCAGTGCCACGGAGGTCAGAAGAGAGCTTCAGATTCCCCTGGAACTGGAGTTAAAGACAGTTCGTAGCCACCATGTGGGTGCTGGGAATCGAACCCAGGTCCTCTGCAAGAGCAGTCAGTGCTCTTAACTACTAAGTCATCTCTCCAGCCCCCTAAATGCTTATCTTGTGCACAAGCTGTGATGTAATCACCACTTCCCTCTCAATACTGGAGGATCTGATACCCAAAGTCCCAAAAAAAAAAAAAAAAAAAAAAAAAGATTTGACTACAAGGCTCACTCTTAGCAATTCGGTGAATGATTATAATGAGTGGGAAAACTTAAATGCTATGTATATTGTCCATCAAATATTAGTTAAGAACCAATTACTAGGAAACTGCTAGGCTATGGCTAGACAACTGATCCAGTTTCAGCTTTTATGCCTGATATTTAAGACCAAACGAATAAACTGTATCATCTAGACAGATAATTTAGCACTTTGTTTTTCATAGAAGGCAGTTTGTAGCAGAATATAGTCACAGTGGATAGATCCTACCTCCTTCACATGGGTCAAATCCAAGGCTATCCCCAGCACTTCCAGGAGAACAACATGGAAGAACTGGTGAAGTCCTGATGCTGTCAGCAGTTGGACATTTACACATAGTCATTCATGAAAGAGTAAGCAGTAATATTGAGTGTTCGGCTAAACTAGATACCCAGGAAGCCCCACCTCTTAACCTGCTCACAAGCATACCACTCTCTTCTGCAGGTGGAGGTAAATACCAAAATACCCTCTGAAGTCCATTCATGTTTACAAGTCTGTTTTCATATTTTCTTTTCATCCCTTAACCTGAACTCCTCTCAACAATTTAGTTTGCTTAATGTGTATCCCTTTGTGCGTATACAGTCTTACAAAAGCATGTTATTGTTTTGTGTACAGGTGTTTTGTTTCATTTTGTGACACCAGTGAGAAAACCAGGGCCTTGCACTCACTCCTAGTGAGCTGCATCCCCAGACCTCAGTCTTTGAGATAGTATCTAATTATGTAGCCCAGGCTGGCTTCAAACTCATCTCCCTTCCCTAGCCCAAGCTTGGCATCACCTCTATTTCTAATTTTTCCAGTCTAACAAGTATAGAGTGACACTTACTTGGGGTGTGAGTGTGCATGTGTGTCTGTATAGGTGCTTGTGTGTATAGAGGCCAGGTGACAACTTTGGGCGTCATTCCTCATGAGCTGTCCACTGTTTCAGCTATTTGTTTGACAAAGTCTCTCACTGGCCTGGAACTCAACAATTAGGTGATGCTGACTGGCCAGTGAGCCCCAGCAATTCATCCAGCTTCACCTCCTCAGTGCTGAGACTACAAGCATAGTCTACCATCTCCAGCTTTTTTTTT